TCGTCCTTGCGCACCTCGCGCGCAGCGCCCGCCCGCGCCTCCTCTTCGAGCGCCGCCACGCGGCCCCGCAGCGCCGCGCCGCGCTGATCCGCCGCCTCAAGCTCAGCGGTCGCCGCATCAAAGAACGCCCTCACCTTGGACGCGCGCTCAGCCTCCGCGGCCGCCAGCGCCGCCGCCGCGCGCTCCGCCTTGCCGCGCAGCAGCGGCGCCGCCTCTGGCGTGGTGGCCCAGTCGTGGACGCCCAGGCGCTGCGCGTAGTCGCTGAAACACAGCTCCAGGCACGTGGCGCGGGTGGCGGGGTTGGGGTCGAGGGCGGCGTCAAGGAAGCCGCGCACGTCGGACGGCAGCGCCGAAAACTGGGCGTGGTCGCGGTACGCGCGCGGCGCCGCCACGATGCGCGCCACCACCGCCGAGTCGTAGGCGTCGTAGTCATCGGCGATGGCGCGCGCCTCGGGCGTCTCCCACGGGTTGGACCCAAACAGGGCCACCACCAGCGTGGCGCCCAGGGCCCACGAGTCGTACTTGACCCCAAAGGAGTCGGCCAGCTTGGGGTGCGGCAGGCGGGCGATGTAGTTGAGCATGTCGGGGCCGGCCTCGGGGGGCGCGTAGATGGGGGTGCAGGCTGTGGGGGGGCTGCCCAGGGCCGTCGCCGCCCCCAGGTCGCAGACGTTGACGCGGAAGCCCGCGCCATCGGGGCGCCTTGTCAGCAGCAGCTGCTCCGGCTTGAAGTCGTTGTACGACAAACCCTGGGAGGCGTGGGTGGGTGAATGGGTGTGAATGGGTGTGAATGGGTGGGTGTGAATGGGTGGGTGAGTGGGTGGGTGGGTGTATGTGGGTGAGTGGGAATGGCTGGGTGGGCAGGGGCAATCACGTGCATGCGCAGGGAACCATGCCGCTGCATGACATGCGGCCATCACCCATTGCGTGAGAGGCTGGGCACACTCTGGTCCCCTCAACCTGCCCTTTACCCGTCACTCAGGCTGAGGCAGCACCCCGCTCCCATTGCCGCCCCTCACCTTGCCGTGCAGGCGCGCCAGCAGGGGTGTCGCGGCCGCCACGATCGCGTCGCCCACCTCGCCCCGCTCCCCGTCGCTCAGCGTGACGACCTCTCGCAGCAGCCTCTTGCCGCCGTACTCGAAGATGAGGTGCAGGTGCGTCTCGTCCTCGTTGACTGCCAGCAGGCGCGGCACGCCGTCGCGCAGCACCTCCCGCTGCAGCTCCTCGTGAAGCTGGATCTCAGCCACAGCCTGGGGGGTTTGGGGGGGGGGGGCAGGCGGTAGGGCGCGGTGTCAGGGCGGGGAGTGTGCGCACAGATAGGGTGACGCCAGCAAGGGGACGCTAAGACAACCGCACGGCTCCGCGCGTCCGAAGGCCCGGCTCATATGTAGGTGCGTGCGTGTATGCGCGTTCGCGGGCTTGCGCCCGTGCCGCCTCCACCCGGCAGGCTGAGTGGTTTGCGGCCTGCACCTCCCCCCCTGCAGAGCCAGCCAGGCCGTGCGCCTGCACTGCCACACTCTCTTACGCCCCTGCGCCCCTGGTGCGCTCCGAGTCCCGCGTGCATCCGTCAGCCGCGCACCTGTCCCAGCAGGCCGCTGTTGCCGGCCATGGCGGCCTTGCAGAACACCTTGACAGCGACATGCATGGCGGGCGGCACCACGGCGAGGCCCACAAAGCTTGGGCCCTGCGTGCTGCCCTGCAAGACCTCGGTCACGTTGCGGCA